AGAGGAAAAAAAAGGGGGGGATGGCACTTACCCTCTTCGCTCTTGACTACGAAAGAAGAAACCAAACACAACAAGAGAAAACTGAGCTGCATTTGTAGAGCCATCTAGTCGTGAGGCATCCCCCTTCTCTACTGAGAACTCCTGTTCGGTCGGACCATCTCTAATAGGAAACAAACATCAGGAGCGCCACCATATGCAGTATATCGCAATGCAGTTTGCACGACCCCTTATCATTTTTTTTTTCTTTTGGGGGGGTTCTTTCACGTGTAATTTTTGGCATGGTTTCAATAAATATAGACTCTTCTAACAAGATTCTTAAATTAATTAGAAGTTAGTCAACGTGTTTCGTTACTTCTTCATTTTTCTAATGAAGGAGAAACTTATTTTTATTTTGTATATGAGTTTTATATATATATAGAAGTTGGTGTAAGTGGTATAGAATTCGAAATTTTTATATAAATTGTGAAGAGTGTTTTTTTTTTAATTTAAAAAATAACGTGTAATTATTATTATTATTCTCAATGTAACATTCATTTTTATATTTAAAATTTCATATAAATATTTAGAAATTCGTCAATAGAAGACAGAACAAAATCATCTTGAAGTGTGGAAGAGTCTTCAAATAAAGGTGTTTCTGTGTTGTGGGTAAAGGAAATTCTTGTTAAGAGTTAATTATTTTTCTAGTGTTTTCTTTTAGTGGATCTTTATAAATGAATTTCCTTCCTGTTTTTATTGTTTTTAATACGTAAAAACTTAATTGAAGTATGTAATAATAAGAAAAAAAAAGTCATTTAAAAAAAATCTTTCCATTAGACAAACACGAAAATTCTTTCTGCGATTAATTAAAAGAAACTTTCCTGCTGTAGATAAAGTATTTGGATATACCAAAATATGAGAGTTTCGTCGGTGAGTAAACGTTTCTTGAAAGCATTCCATTCGTTATTTCTAGCCAAAAAATATATTTATTTAAAAAAAAAAAATTCCTCTTACTACATTCTTCAATTTAGTTTTCTGTGTTGTTATCATATTGATTGTATAATATACCTTTTCCTTGTGTATTTTTATCCATTTCCTTAAATATTTCTTTAGATTAAAGACAATAATAAATAAATTAATTAATTAACTTTTAAGTTTCATAACTTACATTCATAGTGAATTACAGTAAATTGTCTATAGAAGAGTAATTAATATATAAAAAAAAATCTTTAAATTTAATATTAAATTCCAATTTGTGTGTTGTCATCCTAGTAAAAATTAATTTAAAGGATACTTTTAATATATTAAGTATACCAATATATATTTTACATATACAAAA